GTAGAGAGGGTTGGAGAGCAGTGGAGGGATAGGCAGAGAGGGGTGGTGGCCAGCGTATGGATTGGTAGAGGGGGGTGGTGACCAGTGGAGGGACTGGCGGAGGGAGAGGGGTGGTGGCCAGTAGAGGGATTGGCAGAGAGGGGTGTTGACAAGTGGAGGGATTGGTAGAGAGGGGTGGTGGCCAGTGGACGGATTGGCAGAGAGGGGTGGTGGCCAGTGGAGGGATTGGCAGAGAGGGGTGTTGGCCAGTGGAGGGATTGGCAGAGAGTTGTGTAGGCCAGTGGAGGGATTGGCATAGAGGGGTGGTGGCCAGTGGAGGGATTGGCGGAGAGGGGTGTAGACCAGTGGAGGGATTGGCGGAGAGGGATGGTGGCCAGTGGAGGGATTGGCAGAGAGGGGTGGTGGTCAGTGCATGGATTGGCAGAGAGGGGTGTTGGCCAGCAGAGGGACTGGCAGAGAGGGGTGGTGGCCAGTAGAGGGATTGGCAGAGAGGGGTGGTGGCCAGTGGAGGGATTGGCAGAGAGGGGTGGTGGCCAGTAGAGGGATTGGCAGAGAGGGGTGTTGGCCAGTGGAGGGATTGGCGGAGAGGGGTGTAGGCCAGGGATGGAGGGACCAGACCAGGAGGGATGGCAGAGAGGGGTGTAGGCCAGTGGAGGGATTGGCGGAGAGGGATGGTGGCCAGTGGAGGGATTGGCAGAGAGGGATGGTGGCCAGTGGAGGGATTGGCAGAGAGGGATGGGTGGCCAGTGGAGGGATTGGCAGAGAGGGGTGGTGGTCAGTGCATGGATTGGCAGAGAGGGGTGGTGGCCAGTGAAGGGATTGGCGGAGAGGGGTGTTGGCCAGAGAAGGGATTGGCGGAGAGGGGTGGAGGCCAGTGGAGGGATTGGCGGAGAGGGGTGGTGGCCAGTGGAGGGATTGGGATCGGAGAGGGGTGGTGGCCAGTGGAGGGATTGGTGGAGAGGAGTGGTGGCCAGTGGAGGGATTGGCGGAGAGAGGGTGTTGGCCAGTGGAGGGATTGGCGGAGAGGGGTGGTGGCCAGTGGAGAGATTGGCGGAGAGGGGTGGTGGTCAGTGGAGGGATTGGTGGAGAGGGGTGGAGGCAAGTGAAGGGACTGGTGGAGAGGGGTGGTGGCCAGTGGAGGGATTGGCGGAGAGGGGTGGAGGGATTGGTGGAGAGGGGTGGTGGCCAGTGGAGGGATTGGCAGAGAGGGGTGGTGGCCAGTGGAGGGATTGGTAGAGAGGGGTGGAGGTGCCAGTGGAGGGCTTGGCAGAGAGGGGTGTGGGCCAGTGGAGGGATTGGTAGAGCAGGGTGGAGGCCAGTGGAGGGATTGGTAGAGAGGGGTGGAGGGATTGGCAGAGAGGGGTGGTGGCCAGTGGAGGGATTGTCAGAGAGGGGTGGTGGCCAGTGGAGGGATTGGCAGAGAGGGGTGGAGGCCAGTGAAGGGATTGGCACAGAGAGGTGGTGGCCAGTGGAGGGATTGGCAGAGAGGGGTGGTGGCCAGTGTAAGGACTGGCAGAGAGAGGTGGTGGCTAGTGGAGGGATTGGTAGAGAGGATTGGAGAGCAGTGGAGGGATTGGCAAAGAGGGGGTGGAGAGCAGTGAGGGATTGCTAGAGAGGGTTGGAGAGCATTGGAATTGGCAGAGGGGTGGAGAGCAGTCGAGGATTGGTAGAGAGGGTTGGAGAGCAGTGGAGGGATTGGCAAAGAGGGGTGGTGGCCAGCAGATGGATTGGTAGAGAGGGGTGGTGGCCAGCAGACGGATTGGTAGAGAGGGGTGGTGACCAGGGATTGGTAGAGAGGGGTGGTGACCAGTGGATAGATTGGTAGAGAGGGGTGTTGGCCAGCGGAGGGACTGGCAGAGAGGGGTGGTGGCCAGTAGAGGGATTGGCAGAGAGGGGTGTTGGCCAGTGGACAGAGAGGGGTGGTGGAGTGGATTGGCGGAGAGGGGTGGTGGCCAGTAGAGGGTTTTGCAGAGAGGGGTGGAGGCCAGTGGAGGGATTGGCAGAGAGGGGTGGTGGCCAGTGGAGAGATTGGCAGAGAGGGGTGGTGGCCAGTGGAGAGATTGGCAGAGAGAAGTGGTGGCCAGTGGAGGGATTGGCAGAGAGGGGGGTGGTGGCCAGTGGAGAGATTGGCAGAGAGAAGTGGTGGCCAGTAGAGGGATTGGCAGAGAGGGGTGGTGGCCAGTGGATAGGAACTGATGGGAAATCTCTTCAGGGACAAGAAGTGAGTGAACACTCCTCATATGCGTCTTGGGCACCAGAAAAAACTCAGTCAAAATATTTATTATATCAATGAGTTAGAAAAAAAATGCCTTGAGTTGAGTTTAAAGCTATTCAACTTGTTCCACATTTTCCTGGGACTTGCAGTTTGCTCTACAGCATTTGGGTGGGTGGAGACCTTCAATTTCTGCTTTAATTCATTACATTTACAAATCTATTCATTCACAATGATATCTTGCAAACACAGAAGGTCAGCTGTGCTAAAGTGAGGAAGTCCACATAGACATATACTATATTGCCAAAAGTATTGGTCCCGCCCTCCCAATCATGTGATTCAGGTGTTCCAATCCCCTCCATGGACACAGGTGTATACAATCAAGCCCCTAGGCATGCAGACGGCTTCTACAAACATTGGTGAAAGAATGGGTCGCTCTCAGGAGCTCAGTGACTCCAAGCGTGGTCCCGTGATAGGTGGTCACCTGGGCAATAAGTCCATCCGTGACATTTCCTGGCTACTAAATATTCCACGCTCAACTGTTAGTGGGATTATAACAAAGTGGAAGCCACTGGGAACAACAGCAACTCAGCCACCAAGTGGTAGGCCACGTCACATGACAGGGCAGGGTCAGCGCATGCTGAAGCGCACAGTGCGCAGAAGTCGCCGACTGTCTGCAGAGTCAATAGCTAAAGACCTCCAAACTTGGTGTGGCCTTCAGATGAGCCCAACAACAGTGCGTAGAGAGCTTCATGGAATGGGTTTCCATGGCCGAGCAGCTGCATCCAAGCCTTCCATCACCAAGTGCAATGCAAAGCGTCGGATGCCATGGTGTAAAGTACGCTGTCACTGGACTCTAGAGCAGAGGAGACGTGTGCTCTGGAGTGACCAATCACGCTTCTCTGTCTGGCAATCCGATGGACATGTCTGGGTTCGGTGGTTGCCAGGAGAACGGTACTTGCCTAACTGCATTGTGCCAAGTGTAAAGTTTGGTGGAGGGGGGATTATGGTGTGGGGTGGTTCTTCAGGGGTTGGGCTTGGCCCCCTAGTTCCAGTGAAGGGAACTCTTAAGGCGACATTTTGGACAATTTCACGCTCCCAACTTTGTGGGAAGAGTTTGGGGATGGCCTCTTCTGTTCCAACATGACTGCGCACCAGTGCACAAAGCAAGGTCCATAAAGACATGGAGGAGCCAGTTTGGGGTGGAGGAACTTTATATATAAAACACAACAGGTATAAAAAACTCTCCTCATGGAGTAACAATGTATCAGTTGCTGAACGTCCTCTATTGCTGCTCAGTCCATCCAAGGTTTATCCTGTGTTGAGTCTTGTTGAAGGGAGGTGGCATTGCCCCTGAGACACTTTAGTGTTTTGATGACCTAATTGTCAACAATAAAAATGATCTTGACGCTTTCATCCATCGTTGGTTTGGTGCTCTTTTTTTTTTTTTTCAATAAATCTACATTTTTACTTTGGCCTGGATGTAGAGAGGAGTTCCGTTCTCAGTATAATGTGTGTGCCGGAACTTCCTTACTGTGAACACTGTATGGTCTCAAATAGCTACGCTACTAGAGAAATGTGGCTCCTTACTTGGGAGGTCTTCATTGTACCCTTGACCCAATCCAAGCCCCCTTCTGGAGTTCACTGGGGTCACTACAAACACTTCTAAATTTAATGGTTGTTTCGAAAAATGGTTCTTTGTTGGCTCATGTCTGGTGCAGCTTAGGCAGCAAACAAAGCATGTCGTTGTCTCTTTGAGTGGATTTCCAAGTCGGCCAATGGTCTGCCTAGCTTGGCATTTTGAGGTTTCGTAATATTACATCATCATGAGAAGTAACATTCTATTGCTAGGGTTGGGTCAACGGTGATCAAGCTTGATCATAGACGCTACAATCAAAAATCGGGGGCATAAATTACACCTATCAGGCCATGTCCGGGCAACAGGTATATCATATTGTCAGATGTGTTTTTTTTAGCACAGAGGAACCCTTGAAATGACTTTCCATTCTCAGAGAACCCCTGCCAATATTTACTATGGTCACAGCTTGTACATGTACATTACTGCAGTGGGAAGAAGGATCCTCACATTTTGGTATTAGGAAGACTCCCCCTTACAAATAGATAAAGAGATCATTGGTGTCAGTGGTCACTTATCAGGTAGAAATTGCTCATTGGTTACGATACCCCTAGGATCCTGTGGAGGAACTCTAGGGTTCCAAGGATAAGCAGGTTGTGTAAAGATTGGTGGGTGGTCATATGATATAATTTAGACCAGTCTGTTTCAGCTAGGGTTCCTTCAGATGTTCCTAGGGTTCCTTGAGCAATGAGCAATTTCTGCCTCTCAAATAAGAAACCACTGACACCAAGGATCTTTTTAGCTATCTGCAAAATGGGGATTCTTCCCACTGACCACCAATGTCAAGAACATTCCTCCCACTGACCTCTAAAAAGTAAGGGACATTCTTTCCCACTGACCTCCAATGTAAGGGACATTCTTCCCCCCCAAGGACACATCTGACCCCCAATGTAAGGAACATTCTTCCACTGACCCCCAATGTAAGGGACATTCTTCCCACTGACCACCAATGTAATTGAACATTCTTCCCACTGACCCACCAATGTAATTGACATTCTTCCCACGGACCCCCAATGTAAGGGACATTCCTCCACCGACCACCAATGTAAGGGACATTCTTCCCACTGATCACCAATGTATGGGACATTCTTCCCACGGACCACCAATGTAAGGGACATTCTTCCCACGGACCACCAATGTAATTGACATTCTTCCCACGGACCCCCAATGTAAGGGCCATTCTTCCCACTGATCACCAATGTAAGGGACATTCTTCCCACTGACCACCAATGTAATTGACATTCTTCCCATGGACCCCCAATGTAAGGGACATTCTTCCCACCGACCCACCAATGTAAGGAACATTCTTCCCACCCCGACCACCAATGTAAGGAACATTCTTCCCACTGACCCCCAATATAAGGACATTCTTCCACTGACCCCCCCAATGTAAGGGACATTCTTCCCACCGACCCCCAATGTAAGGGACATTCTTCCCACTGATCACCAATGTAAGGGACATTCTTCCCACTGACTGACCCCAATGTAAGGGGACATTCTTCCCACTGACCCCCAATGTAAGGGACATTCTTCCCACTGATCACCAATGTAAGGGACATTCTTCCCACTGATCACCAATGTAAGGAGAATTCTTCCCACCGACCCCCCAATGTAAGGGACATTCTTCCCACTGACCACCAATGTAAGGGACATTCTTCCCACTGATCACCAATGTGTAAGGGACATTCTTCCCACTGATCACCAATGTAAAGGACATTCTTCCCACCGACCTACCCAATGTAAGGGACATTCTTCCCACTGATCACCAATGTAAGGGACATTCTTCCCACTGACCACCAATGTAAGGGTACGTATTCTTCCCACTGAACCACCAATGTAAGGGACATTCTTCCCATGACCACCAATGTAAGGGACATTCTTCCCACTGACCACCAATGTAAGGGACATTCTTCCCAATGACCACCAATGTAAAGGACATTCTTCCCACGATGACCACCAATGTAAGGAACATTCTTCCCACTGACCCCAATGACTGTAGATATAGTTCACCCATTATACACTCACCGCCACTTTATTAGATCCACCTGTTCAATTGCTTGGTACACACAATTCTGCTAATTGATCAGACCAATCACATGGCAGCATCTCAAAGCATTCAGGCATCTAGATGTGGTGAAGACGACTTGCTGAAGTGCAAACCGAGCATCAAAATGGGAAGAAAGGGGATTTAAAAGTGACTTTGAGAACATGGCATGGTCGTTGGTGCCAGACAGACTGGTCTGAGTAATTTCAAAAAGAAGTGCTGAACTTCTACTGGGATGTTTTCACACAAAACCATCTCTAGGGTATACAGAGAATGGTCTGAAAAAAGAGAAAATATCCAGATTGTGTTGGAGAAAATGCCTTGCTGATGTCAGAGACGAGAATGGGCAGACTGGTTCCAAATGATAGAAAGACAACAGTTACTCATGAAATCCATCTGAACCAAAATCTCTCTGAGGAATGTTTCTAACAACTTGGTGAATCTATGCCATGAAGAATGAAGGCCAAAGAGGGTCCAACCCGGTACCCAGCAAGGTGGACCTAATAAACTGGTCAGTGAGTGTGTATATACCATACCTGTGGGATCCCTCTAGAACTGCCATTCCCAACATTTGTATCCGCTGGAGGTAACCTCAAAATAATTTTCAAGTCTCAGGAAACCTCTGCTAAAACCAATTTCTCAGGGGCCATTGGAGAAATTGGAAGGCCAATGGTAATCATCGGCAGGGGATCCATTAGACCTGAAGGTTATTTCTTGGGTTCTCTGGTTGGTGCATTCAAGAAAGGTTGATCCAGGCTGATCAGTTGTGTAAGTGCGCCTTCCACTCCACCCTCAGTACAGCAATCGATAGTTTATATGGCTCTCTCTCTTTTTTGATACTGACCAGGGAGGGGAGGATTTGGGAACCATTTACACACCTGGCAGAATTCCTCTTCCGTAGAACAGAAGGTGTCTTTCGAACTTCTACTAACGAGCTTTTCTCAGACGTCTCTGTAGAATCTGAGAGTGAGGAACAATCTGTGGGGAGGAAAAGCTCACCAAGGAATGTCAGATCAGGGGCGGACTGACCATTCGAGCACTCGGGCACTGCCCCAGGGCCCGGGGTCAGTAGGGGGCCCCATGAAATGCCCCTGGTACCTATTATAGGCTTTTTTTGGGTGTGCTTTGAGTGTGGGCAAGGACACAGGGGCCCCATGATCCCCTATTGCCCGGGGGCCCCATGAACTGTCAGTCTGCCCCTGTGTCAGACACTTCAATGAGATAACCGCCTTACTGGATGTGTGAGCCGCCATGATCATTCCATAGAGAGTGTATAGAATTCTCCACATCACTCTCCGACTAAGAAGAGCTTACAATCTATTGTCCATAGAACAATTGCAGCATCAAAGTCCATCAGGAAGTACGGCCCATAGACCCAGCAATGGTAAAACGTGGTGCATGCAATGTCGGTCCAAAAGCAGAGAAGAGCAGGGACAGCAATGGATGGCAAACAAATAGAAACTGGATTTACTTCAGTGACAACACTGGAGGTCCACACAGCACCCCTTATCGAGGGACAAGCCTGGTGCAGCCAGACATGCGCACTCATTCAGTCACCATCCAGTTCAACTTCCAGCATATTTTTGGATTGTAGGAAGAAACCAGAGGACCCCGAGGAGGCGCATGTAACCTCTATAACTGGATATAACATGTATAGGGAAAGTTGATCCAGGGGATATCCGATTGCCTCTCGGGGGATCAGGGAGGAATGTTTCCCCTGCAGGAGCAGATTGGATCGTGCTTTGCTGGGTTTTTTGGCCTTCCTCTGGATCACCTGTGGGTGTAGGATTATAACTTTTTTTTCATGGTTGAATTGGATGGACGTTTGTCTTTTTTTCAGCCAGACTAACTATGTAACTTGCAGATAGTATCCCGAGGGCTGATCGTGTCCGGGGCCCCAGAGCTCTGCAAGAGTCTAAAAATTGGAGCCACACAATATCTAAATTATTAATATTATATTAGAATTATTTTTATGTATTATTATCATTAACTACTAACATTTAAGGATAAAATAATAATACTAACATCTAATCGTATGATTATTTTTTACTACTTTTTAATTCCAACTTTTTTTTCCTAACTCAATTGCTCTCTCTGCCAATCTCTACACTGGAACCCCCCCCCCCTTCTCTACCAATCCCTCCACTGGCCTCCACCCCTCTCTGCCAATCCCTCCACTGACCACCACCCCTCTCTGCCAATCCCTCCACTGGCCTCCACCCAGGGGGCGGACTGACAACTCATGGGGCCCCCGGGCAATAGGGGATCATGGGGCCCCTGTGTCCTTGCCCAAACTCAAAAAAGTCTATGAAAAAGGTACCAGGGGCAGCTCATGGGGCCCCCTACTGACCCCGGGCCCTCGGGCACTGCCCGAGTTTCCAAATGGTCAGTCCGCCCCTGCCTCCACCCATTTCTGCCAATCCCTCCACTTGCCTCCACCTCTCTCTGCCAATCTCTCCACTGGCCACCCCTCCACCCCTCTCTGCCAATCTTTCCACTGACCTCCACCCCTCTCTGCCAATCCCTTCACTGGCCTCCACCCTTCTCTGCCAATCCCTCCACTGGCCACCACCCCAATCTGCCAGTCCCTCCACTGGCCACCACCCCAATCTGCCAGTCCCTCCACTGACCACCACCCCAATCTGCCAACCTCTCCATTGGCCTCCACCCTTCTCTGCCAATCTCTCCACTGGCCTCCACCCCTCTCTGCCAATCCCTCCACTGGCCTCCACCCTTCTCTGCCAATCCCTCCACCCTTCCCTTCTCTGCCAATCTCTCCACTGGCCACCCCTCTTCTCTGCCAATCTCTCCACTGGCCTCCACCCCTCTCTGCCAATCTTTCCACTGGCTTCCACCCCTCTCTGCCAATCTTTCCACTGGCCTCCTCCCCTCTCTGCCAATCCCTTCACTGGCCTCCACCCTTCTCTGCCAATCCCTCCACTGGCCACCACCCCAATCTGCCAGTCCCTCCACTGGCCACCACCCCAATCTGCCAGTCCCTCCACTGGCCACCACCCCAATCTGCCAACCTCTCCATTGGCCTCCACCCTTCTCTGCCAATCTCTCCACTGGCCTCCACCCCTCTCTGCCAATCCCTCCACTGGCCTCCACCCTTCTCTGCCAATCTCTCCACTGGCCACCCCTCTTCTCTGCCAATCTCTCCACTGGCCTCCACCCCTCTCTGCCAATCCCTCCACTGGCCTCCACCCTTCTCTGCCAATCTCTCCACTGGCCACCCCTCTTCTCTGCCAATCTCTCCACTGGCCTCCACCCCTCTCTGCCAATCTTTCCACTGGCCTCCACCCCTCTCTGCCAATCCCTCCACTGGCCTCCACTCCTCTGTGCCAATCTCTCCACTGGCCTCCACCCCTCTCTGCCAATCCCTCCACCCTTCTCTGCCAATCCCTCCACTGGCCTCCACTCCTCTCTGCCAATCCCTCCACCAACCTCCACCCCTCTCTGCCAATCCCTCCACTGGCCTCCATCCTTCTCTGCCAATCTCTCCACTGGCCTCCACTCCTCTCTGCCAATCTCTTGACTGGCCACCCACCTTCTCTGCCAATCCCTCCACTGGCCACCCACCTTCTCTGCCAATCCCTCCACTGGCCACCCACCTTCTCTGCCAATCCCTCCACTGGCCTCCACCCCTCTCTGCCAATCCCTCCACTGGCCACCAATGAAGCTGACAGCTGGAAGAATGCCTGGTTGATGGGGATGTGCATGACACATGCATTTGAAAAAGAGGAGGAAGTCCCTGGAAACATCATCTTTCTCTGTCATCTTCATGTACAGCTAAGAACTCTGCCGCTACTATCCATACCTAGAGCTGTCTGGTGACCTGTCATCCCCGGCCTCTGTTTTCTCAGAGATGTCTGCGGCCTCCCAGGGATCACAGCGGCATGGTTTCAGATATTCCCCATCCAGGCCGTTTCATGATAATTTCAATGTAAGTGTGCTGCTTATTTTAATAAAAAGTGAATTTTATGTAATACTGACCTCAGAGCCCTGATGTTCGTTTTCTTCTGCACTGAGGTGATCCTACCCAGATCTTCTGTGGGAGCTGCCAAGGTTCCAGTCTCGGTCCCTTCTCCTGCTCGGCCACCCATCCATCCATCATCCATTGCTCTGTCATCTATCCATCCAGTTGCCTCATTCTTTCCTGAGCCCTTTCGATGGTTTACAGATATAGATGAAGGTTTTACTGCAACTCTCTCCTCACTGGCCTGCCTCGCCGCTGGCTATCCCCGCTTCAGTCCATCCTGAATACGGCTGCCAGACTCCTTCACCTTACCAACCGCTCCATCTCCACCACCCCCCTCTGCCAATCCCTCCACTGGTCCCACTCAGTGTCCTCCCCCCTCTCTGCCAATCCCTCCACTGGCCCCCACTCAGTGTCCTCCACCCCCTCTGCCAATCCCTCCACTGGCCTCCACTCAGTGTCCTCCACCCCCCTCTGCCAATCCCCCACTGGCTTCCGATTGCGCAACGGATCAAATTCAAAATCCTAACACTGACATACAAAGCCGTCCACCATACTGCCCCGAACTACATCACCGACCTAATATCCAAGTACCGCCCAACACGCACACTCCGCTCCTCACAAGACCTCCTTCTCTCTAGTACCCTGGTCTCCTCCTCCCATACCCGCCTCCAGGACTTCTCCAGGGTGTCACCCATCCTCTGGAACTCCCTGCCCCAACCCATCATACTATCACCTACTCTCCTCTCCTTTAGGCGCACCCTGAAAACCCATCTCTTCAGGGAACCCTACCCCACCCCCTGCTAACTTGCCGACCTCCTCCACTCTTCCTACCACTCCATCCCCCACAGCCATCTCCTCC